AGCACGCACGTGAGAAGGAGGATGCGTGCCTGAGTGTGATGGGGTGTGTGTGTGTGTGAGCATGCGTGTGAGGAGGATGTGTGCATAGTTGATGGTGTGTGTGTGTGAGCATGCATGTGAGAGCAAGGATGCATGCATGAGTATGACTGTGTGTGTGCATGTGTGAGCATGCATGTGAGAAGGAGGATGTGTGCATGAGTGTGATGGTGTGTGTATGTGTGGGCTTGCACGAGTGTATGTGCGTGTGTATATGTACAAACGTGCATGTGAGTGTGTGTGTGTTTTGGGGTTGGCGGTGGCTTCTTAACCAGAAGCAGTCAAGCACAGGCCACAGGTTCTCTGCCTGCTTCCCCTGGTGTCAGCAGAGAGGAAGATGATGCCCCGCAGGCTGGAGTGAGCACGCGGGGCTCTAACCCCAGCGGGAGCGAACAGTGGGGAACCAGAGGCAATTGCTACAGAAGCTGGCAGGCTGGTGCACCTTAACAGAGATGTTCTTGGAAATGATGATGCTCCGGTATAGCCCAGGCCTTGTGGTCCCACTGCTGATCATGAACAAAAAAGAAAACCTCCTTGGTCAGAGACCGGGAGAGTCAGCCTGCTCCTGGATGCCCACGGACCCAGCCAAGCCAGTGTGCACACTCTTTCCCTTAGCAAACTGGATTATAAATACCCCTAGATGATCCAGATTATAGCACTTCTGAAGTTATACGATTAAAGAAGCATTTAAAAATTTGGCCATTTTCCTTCCAAGAAACTGCATAAATTACATTATTATGAAAACCAGAACATTAAGATTTTTTTCCAGGCTATAAATTGTTTTTAGTAGAGCTGTTGCTTTTCTTTTGTGGGATTTCTGAGCCTCCACAGTGAACTAAAGTTCATAGTTCTTACAACTCAGGTAAACTATTTTAAGTTTTCATAAATAGGTTTGCCTTTTTGCCCTTTTTACACTAGCTGTGTTAGCTGAAACCTTTTGTTCTAAATGTTTGTAACGTTTCTGGCTAATGAGTTCAAGGGTATTGATTTTTCTTTCAAAGACAGCATCTTCCCTAATTATACAGGGCTTTTCCGGCACACGGCATTGCTCCCATCTGCCTCAGACCCTCCGCACAGAACCTGGGAGCCGTGGCCCCCTCAAATCAGGGGCAGGGTCTCTATCAGGTACCGCAAGGCCCCCCCCACAACTGTACCCTGGTCCATCTCATGTATTAAGGCCTCAGTCCACAGTCCTCCCTCCCTGAGCCTATCTGGGAACATCTTTCTAAAGCTGCTTGGAGTGATGAAGCTTTGTCACCGCAGTGGGACAAACCGACCTCCTGCCCATCTCCTGTGGAGAAGGATGAGCGGCCAAGGTGGCCGAACAAGGAGGTGAGGGAGAGAGAAATGAACTTAGAGAGTGCAGGCTGGCAGGGCCCCTCCTGCAGGGAAGCCCTCCACCCTGCTGCCCAGGTTGCCTGGGGACTACTGGCTCTCACCCACAGGGCAAATGACGTCTACAACAAGCAAGCTGCTGCCTCCACTCCAGAGGAACCGCAGCCTTTGCCCATCTGCTAACCTCAGCTGCTCAAAGTCAAACAGGAGCCAGGCGCTCTTGCACTGACTCAGTTCTCAGCTGCACAGCCAGAAGGTTCTCTGCAGTCCACAGCCCCACAGCAGAGCCCACCACTCTGAGGCAGGGAAGCTCGGTCAGGTCTCAGACAGGTGACATGCATCAGAATCACCTGTGGAATGTGATAGACAGACAAGGACCAGGCTCCCTGCCCCCGAGGCTCTCTTCCCTGAGGCGGGAGGTGAGGCCCAAACTCTGCTGGCTGAGGAGGTTCCTGTGTCAGCTGGAGCCTGTGTTTGGACTCCCCTGTGTGATGTGGCTTCCAGAGGGCTGCGGATGGGGCTGTCGCTGCAGCGTTAGATCACTGAACAGAGTCTGTGCCAAGAAAGGAGTTGAAGGGTGCAGTGAGAAGCGGTTAGGAAGAGAAGCAGGAAAGATTACTTCCTACACCAGAGCCAACCTTGTGGCTTAAGATAGCCAGTACTCACCAGTTACTGACCCCCTCAATATGTCCACTGTCCCATTAAACCCTCGCAACAGCCCTATGAGATAAGGCAATTACAATTATTAATGCACTTACAGATGGGGAAACTAAGGCACGGGGAGGTTAAGTAACTTGCCCAGTGTCAATCAACTGACAGATGATGCTGCTGAGAAAAGAATTTCGGATTTTCATCTCAGAAGTCATGTTTTAGCCACTAGACGTGGGAAATACAATGGATGCCAGTGACTTTAATTTTTAATTTAATTTAATTTAATTTTTAAATTTTTTTTGAGACAGAACCTCACTGTGTCACCTAGGCTGGAGTGCAGTGGCACGATCTCAGCTCACTGCAACCTCCACCTCCCGGGTTCAAGTAATTCTTGTGCCTCAGCCTCCTGAGTAGCTGGGATTACAGGTGTCTGCCACCACACCCAGCTAATTTTTGTATGTTTAGTTGAGACAGGGTTTTGACATGTTGGCCAGGCTGGTCTCGAACTCCTGACCTCAGGTGATCCACCTGCCTCCACCTCCCAAAGTGCTGGGATTACAGCCATGAGCCACCATGCCCAGTCTGCCAGTGACTTTAGAGGAGGAAAAGGTAAAGTCTGAGCCCAGAGCAACCCAAGGAAGAGGCAGGAGAAGCAGAGAAGGGTGAGTGAGTTTCTGTAGCACGGAGACGTCCAAAGACAGGAAGAAAGTGCCCTGCTTGTGAGCTCCTGGACTCCTGGCCACTTATGGCAGGTACACTTGACAGCGATAACTTAAGAACACCCTGAGAATGGCCATGTATGCATGATTCCTTAGCTCTGTTCCAAGCCAAGGAATCTGGGAGTGGCCATCCTGGAGATTTATTCCTTATCTATGAGGAACATCTGAGCCCCCAGCCCACACCACAGAACGCAGCAATACCAGGGATAAAGGCCGTTTGTTTGGGTTAAATGAAGGTTTGGGTGGAGGTAGTTGGGAGGCCGCTTAGCGAAGTGCTGTGTAAACTGCATGCCTTTTGCAAGCGACTGCAGTTCTCCCATCCAGCCCAGCACAGCCGGATCATTCTGTGTAAAAGTTCCCCTCAGTGAACTCTACGTCTTGTGTGCTGGCTCTGGGTCTTTTCTTCAGCCTCCCAAACCTGCTGATACAGGAGTGAAGAAGAAATTACTTAGGCAGATAGTGAAGGCATGGGAGTCCTCGGTAAGGCTTCTCTTTTTCACGACAAAGCAGCCCCAAATCATTTTCTAACAACGACCAGCCTGTAAACTCGAGTTGCAAACAGAGACAAGCAAGCTGGGAGTCTGCATGAGGGAATGCCGATGGGAGCGAGGGACTAGACATGTTCAGAATAGCGGCTCCACCTTCCCTTCTCTGCCAGCACGTGTGCGGTGAAGAGCAGACAAGATGGCCCCGATCCACTGGAAAGTCCATTTGCATAATAGGATTAGGGTGGGGTGACCAGCCTTCCCCCATGCACTATGTAAACGCCATACCTGATCCAACCGATCTGTGAGGCCTGTGTAAATCAGACACCGCCTTCTTAAACCAGACTATAAAATCCGGCGCATTGGCCACCAGCTGGTCCCTTCCACTTGGAGATCTCTTTCTCTTCTGCCTATCAAACCTCTGCTCCTAAACTCCTCGTGTGTGTCCATGTTCTAAATTTTCCTGGCGCACAACAAGGAAACCCAGCAATATAGACCCCAGACAACATAGCTGCTTCACTGCCATCCCTACTGCAGTTAATATGCGTCCAGCACGACAGGCCTCGTCAGCTGCTCAAACAAGACACTCAAAGTGGAGCCCAGCAAACTCCTTTCTCCGCTCTTCAGAGTGTCCTGTAGGATTTCTTGAAAGGCTGAGCCTCAGCAACGTGCAAGAGTGAACTACACCCTACTGGAAAAATACGAGAAGCAGAAGGAAGGCCAACCTTGGGAATCAGAAGCCCTCAGGGCAGGTTTCAGGATCCAAGAGGAGGGCCAAATCGTTCTTGGGCATTCTCATTTCACAAAGCAAAAGTGGCTAGTCCAGCAGAGGGCACGGCCCAGGAGCAGACAGCTCCCTCGGGTGCATTTTTAAAAACAAGCATGAAAGCCCTTCGACTTGGTGAAAAACAGACAGGCAGCCTTTTACCCTAAAGTGTACTCAACAGTGAAAGAAAAAGAAGTATGTTTCTTAGCAAAGAGTAGGCAGCTTCAGTCATCTGTTTCCTCACTGACGACGGCAGTCAATAATTAGACCATGCATTGCAAGAAAATATCTGCAGCATATATACTGGATTAATCATTTCTTAAAAAGACGGCCTAGTGAAAAATTAGCAAAGTCTGCACAATTCACCAAAAAAGTACACGTGTAGCTAATACATGAGCACAGCCTCATTAGTGATGTGGAAATGCAAATTGATAAGATCTGTGTCTCCCCCTCCTATTAGGCAGAAACAGAATCAACCAATATCTAGTTTTTGTAAGGATATGAGAAAAGCCTGTGGGTAGGGGGGTAAATTGGTGTAGTCCTCCTCAAGGAAAATTTATCAACACCTATCAAAGTGTGCTGGGGCCTGGCAACAGAAGCTGGCTGAGGATGTTAATGTTGCGATAGCAGCGTCCAGCTGGATGCACTCTCTGGTCGCCTTTCATTCAGGGGTCCCCAGCACCCAGCCATGGACCAGTACTGGTCTGTGCCCTGTCAGGATCTGGGTTGCACAACAGGAGATGAACAGTGAATGAGTGAGCCAAGCTTCATCTGTATTTACCACCGCTTCCCATGGCTCATGTCACCACCTGAGCTCAGCCTCCTGTCAGATCAGCAGCAGTATTAGATTCTCATAGGAGTGCAAGCCCTATTGTGAACTGCGCATGGGAGGGATCTAGGCTGCAAGCTCCTTATGAGAATCTAATGCCTAATGATCAGTCACTGTCTCCCATCACCCCCAGATGAGACCATCTAGTTGCAGGAACACAAACTCAGGGCTCCCACTAATTCTACATGATGGTGAGTTGTGTTATTATTTCATTATATATTACAATGTAGTAATAATAGAAATAAAGTGCACAATAAATGTAATGCGCTTGAATCATCCTGAAACCATCCCCCTTACCCCATCTGTGGAAAAATTGTCTTCCATGAAACCAGTCCCTGATGCCAAAAAGGTTGGGAACCATTGCTTTAAGTCAGTAAGGAAAACCCAGACCAAACTTTTAGCCAAGACCAGCATCCACAGAAAGCGGCTCCAGGTGCAATGTCATACAAAGGTAAAGCCTGACACTGGGTCTTCCTGAGATAGAGTGCAGGTGTAGTGCGATTCAGAAGCTGGTCCCCTACCTGGAGTCCTTCTCATTGGCATTTGTCCACTGCTACCGAGGAACATTCCTGTGCTCGTTTCTGTACCAGACACTGTGCCATGGGCGTGGTGCTCATCTTCTCCTTAAGTCCTCACAATAGGCTGTGAGCGAAGTGATTATCCCCATTTCAGAAGGTAAGGAACGACTCTGAGAGGCAAGGTTTTAAATGAAAATCAATAATCAGCTCCATCAGCTTCAGCTGTAACACAGATTGCTTTTCTTTTAAAGGTACAGAAGTAAAAGGGTGGTTTTAAGGAGGAGCAGCCCATGAATGTGAGCCACGTGGGGGTATTTCTTTCCATAGCTGTGTTTTCCCCTGAACGAACAGACATTAGAGCCAAAGTGGCATTTGTTTACCAACTACAGGGGCTAGTGCGGTGAATGAAAGAGTATCTTTACGTGGTCATTGTTTTTAGAAATTTCCAACTAAACTCCTCCACTTACTGCTATTCAAAGAATAGCTTCCAAATCAAGATTTAAAAACAGTTATTCTTCCAATAATTTAAGGTAATGTCCTGGGTGTTCATCTTGGATACTCTAGAAGGGCTGAGCAGGCTGGGCCTTAGTACGGGGAAGGATGCATGGGAGGCTAAGCCGGGTGCACTTCTAGGAGGCAGCATGTCTCCGAACTGTTGGTTTTAATTTGTCTCATGTGAGATGCGAATTGAGAGGAGGGTTTAGCAGTATTGGCAGCGTTTGTAAACATTTGTGACGTTACGTGACCTTGCCAGTTGACGTTGGCCAACTGACTTGTTGACCACTCCAGGTATCTACAAACCTGTGGCCTGAGCCACCTATGATTTCTGCACAACCCACAATGTGTCATGGTTTTGTCAGCTGTAAGCCAATAGAGTATACAATTATGGAATTCTTTCTTTTCATCAAATGAAGTTTTAACTACAATTTGTCAAGGTAAACTGTGGCAATGGAAGGATGAAGGACTGGAGATGAATAAAGCACCATTTGCTTTAATTTGGATAAAACTTAAAGAGGAATAGCCTAAGCTTGATGAGTTTACTTCCTAATCTTTTTCAGATCCCATCAACGTGTCTCTGAGCGTGTTCTGTCTATCATGTGTTATTACAACAAAACACAGAAATCATTTAGGGAGACATTTTCCTCTATGAGAGGGGTTGTTGCTCAGTTAGATCAGCCAGAAAAAAAGTCATTGGTCATATTCAAAATACTGAATATTGATATACACAGTGTTAATTTATTACATTATATAAAAGCATTATTTTGCAAGGTTTCAAAATTGAAAACAAAACTGAGCTTCACCACAGTTTAAGAGCCACTGCCCTAATGGGAATTCCCAGGCAGGAATGGAAAAGGGTGTGTGTGTGTATGTGTGTAACTGGGTAGCCAGACATAAAGGGAAGAGATAAAACAGCTCCCTTTCATCAATAAAACCACAATCGTCTTGGATAATTATATATTGCATTGTCCCCATCGTAAACAAAAACATTTGTTTCCATTTTGGTTTAAATGAAAACTAACTGTTTCTCTTTTCCAGGCTGGCTTTGCTGCCTGGTCAGTGAGCTCAGGCCACTAATGAATGGGTGGCATCCCAGCGTCTACCCACGAAAGACCCACTCTGACCTCCCAGAGCAAAACCCCACTGTTTAAAGGGCACAGAGGGCAAAGTCCTGGTGGCTTCCCTCCTTCCCTCCCTCCCTCTGTCTCACACCCATCTTCCTGTAAACCTTTTTGCTTGTAGAAAACCTGCCTAGAAGGTGAGCATGGCCCAAAATATGCCCCTGACCACCACAGAAAGGCATCGCACCCAGCGCAGCTCTGGGGAAAATAGAAGCCTCCGCCCAATAGCCCAAACCCCGCCCTTTTGTTTGGAATCCACTAGTCCTAGGCCTGGCCATCGAACTTTGGTTTTAATTTACTTGTGCCGCAGGGTGACTGACATGGGTTTTTTTCTTCTTGCTAGAATACAGTTGCAAAGTGAGTCTTCATGTCCATGATGAGGAGGCCCTCTGTGGATCTCAGTGTCATTTGGAAGATCCCCAGTGGTGACAGGTAAGAATAGCAGCTGGCAGTGGGCCTTCCCACAGGTCTTTGGGGAAGACAGAATTTAGAGCTGGGGGCCTCTGATCATCCTAGTCCTTCACACAACATTTCTCAGCGTGCCCTGAGGGGCAGAGTCAGTAAATGGGACCCCAAAGTCTGGAAGAAGGCACTCCCATTTCTCTGGTTTAGAAAGGGGCTGCAGGCCAGGATAAGAGATCATTTGGAATGTGTCAATTTGTGACTTTCACGACATCAATTTGTCTTCTTTAATGTGTAAACTGCCAACGTGACTTCCTGATTCTCTCATCTTTCTCGATTTCCCTTTTCATGGGATTTCTGTAAAGGGGTGACCCGTTGGTTTGTTGAGCACTCATGGGTCACAGGTATGGGTAGAAGCCAGGTCCCTTTAAGTGAAAGCTCACTGGCTCCACGTGGCCCGTCCCCCTGTCTGTCTTTTGCTGGAAAAGCCTTGGGATCACCACTGATGAGCATATCATGCCGCAGTATGACTTGATGCCTATCACTTGGTCCTCAGTCCATCAAAAGAAAGGTGCTGGTCTCTGGTCCTGCCTGGAGTCAATGCTGACCTCAGCATTTGTTCTACTGTAGATTTTTGCTGGAGGTGAAGACAATGCTGCATCAAGCCAACCTACAAGTCCCTGCCCAGGGGAAGGTGCATTGCAATACGAGGCTCCCTAAAACCCCATCCATAACCTTGGTAGATTCCACAAAATGGAAAATACTATTAGCTGCCATTACACACGCTCTCCAATGCAAATTACATTCCCTAAGGATGCAATTTATTTTCTTTTCATTGTATTTAATTCCAAAAGAAAGGTCACACTTCTTTGCTTGGTAGGCAAGCTGTTCTGAAGGACACACTAGAGAAAGCACCACTCCCCACCCCAACCCACATTCCCAACACACTCACCTGCCCACACTCACACAATCACATACACACACCCACACTTGCATACACATGCTGACTCCTGTGCACTCATGTGCACACACTCATTCACACTCTTCGACACATTCACACTCAGGCATACTCATACGCCTCATGAGCACACTTACCTGTGCACACTCATACACATGCAGACACTCACGGGCACACTCATACATGCTCAATGCTCATTTGCACCCAGACACAGGCATACACATTCATTTGCATGCACGCACACACTTTTTAATGTAACGATTTACAGGAAAGAACAGCTGGAACTTGCTGGGATAACCAGGTACGAGTGCTCTCTGCAGAGAATAATGGCACACAGGTTTGTGTCTTCTGACTGAGGGCCCTCCTGAAGGGAGGTCTGTACCTCCTCCCTCATTTTACACAAGGCGACAGGTCAGAGGCCAGGGTGGGACCAGAGCGAGGGAGGCATCGTCTCTGGCAGCAGCACTTGCCACTCCACACTGTGGAGGCCAGAACAGCACCCCAGAGAACACTCATTTGCACAGGGGAAATGGCTCATCTTTCAAACAATGGCAGAAGAAATCCAGCAAAGGTCACTTTTCCTGTGTGAGTATATTGAAGGCCAGAGAGTGGCTACTTCTCTGCCTCCTGCAACTCCCTCAGTGTGGCTTGGAGGAGTCGGCGAAGCTTCCAGAACACGCTGGGGGCGTCTCTCCGGGCGTTCCCGCTGGGGACCCCAGGGTCTGCACATTCCTGCACCGCCTCCTGTAACTGCAGCTGAAGCTGAAAAGAGACCGCAGAACTCTTGAGAGGTGCCGAAAACCAATGGCGAAATATTTTATCACAGATGACCTGAGGGAAAGAAGGTGGGCAGTTAATTTAGGGCAGCAAATCCTCCTGAAAGCTTCCCAAGCCCAGGATTGGTTCTGAAACAGATCTCGGCTTCTCTCCCACCCCCACCCCCGTCCTTCAGGGAGCACACTCCAGAGACCATCCGATTTGGAAACATGCATTCACTTCTGCCCCTTAAACCCTTCAGCACCATGAACAAGCGATGCCTCCGAGAGGAGAAGCCAACGTCTGTGTGAGGCAGAAACTTCCCTTTCTAGCCCCCTAGCAGATGGACGAAGCTCTGGGTGACACTGTAAAAGGACTGGACACATTTCTAGGGAGGAAGGGAAGCAAAAGTCACAGTCACTGCTGCAGAAGGAGCTGGTCCTTTGCAGACCTGAGGGAAGTCAGCTTTGCTGTCACCACCTGGAGATGAGATTTCTTATCCACAAGCCAGTCCTAGTGACCACATTGACCATCTGACCGGGTCGTCCAGGGGGCCAAACAGTGCATGAGGGAGAAGTGTGTGAACTTGTGTGACTGCCTGTGTAGCACTTTAAGGCTCATGAAACAAAGGTATATTTGACAGAAAAGGCTGCAGGCATAAGGATCTTTGAAGGCTCTGTGAAATGTGTTATTCTAGGAGCAGAGGTAAAAATTAGACACTCTCTTTAATTCTTATCAGGTATGAAATTCAGTGATGCTGAGGATCCTGGAAATTTCTCCCTGTAAACATCTTGTTTGTTTTACAGCTCTGACAGCATCCCCCACATTGGGAGAAATGACCTGCCAGCTGCATGGTGCATCATGCTTTATTACTCTATATCACATTTTATATCAGACTCCATTAACAAACGCCTCCATTGTAAAGAGCCGCTGCTTCACAGAGGACAAAAACCTTCAACTTCTATTTCACAATCCCTGCAAAGGCAAGGATTCTTTTCAAAACCTAATTATGGCTTTTTTTTTTTTTTTAATAGAGAATACATTTTCATGTGCAAAATTTAAAATGTTCTTAAGGCTAGACTGCGATCTCAGGCTCCACCTCACCCCGACGCTCAGCTCCCACTCTGAGAATGAGACATTCTTTGACATACACATTTCCTTTTTCTTTTATTTCACACATAGGTAATATATTATACACACTGTTCTCAATCTTCCACCCCTGTTTATATGAGGGAGATCCCTCCAAATTGATTTTTCTTTTTGAGACAGGCTCTCACTCTGTCCCTCAGGCTGGAGTACAGTGGTGCCATCTTGGCTCACTACAACTTTGACCTCCTTTGTTCAAGCGATCCTCCTACCTCAGCCTCCTGAGTAGCTGGGACTACAAGGGCATACCACCATGCCTGGCTAGTTTTTGTATTTTTTGTAGAGACAGGGTTTTGCCATGTTGCCCAGGCTGTTCTTGAACTCCAGGACTCAAGTGATTCACCCACCCTGGCCTCCCAAAGTGCTGGGACTACAGGCATGAGCCACCGCACCCAGCCATTCCCTCCAAATCAGTTCTGATGAGGATATTCCATGTGATTTAATGGCTACTTCTGAAATGTGTGCGTGTGTCATAAGTTATTTCACTAGCTCCCTACAGATGGAATTGCGGTTGCATAATAACCTTTGCTATTATGAACAATGCTGCAATAAATGTCTTGCAGATATATGCTATTGCATTTTGTGCATGTGACTATGTTTCTAGAAATAGGATTTCTGGGTCAAAGGGCATGTGCATTTTTTGTTTTGATAGATACGTTAAATTGACTCCGTAAGATTTCTTCTCATTTACACTCCCCAGCAATGTATCCAAGACTGCTCATCCTCCCTTAGCCACTCCAACACAAATGTCACAGATTCATTTTGCCAACAGATGGGTGAAAATGGTTTAATTTGCATCTTTCTTAGTTTGACAGTTATGTGTGCTTCCTTTCCAATGAATGGTCAAGTTTATATTTTTGGCCTTTGTTGTGTTCATTTGTAGATGCTCTTTATATCTTAAGGACATCGCCCTTGCTTTAGGTTGGTTCCCCAGAAGTAGACTCGAAGACGGAGGTTTGCACACAGGGATTCTTTGAGGTCTGTCCTTGGGAAGCACACTCCATGGAACTAAGCAAGAAGTAAATGTGTGGGGCTGGGGGGGTCCCTGTAGAGTTGTCCCTTAGTGAGGCACAGGGGGCCTGGTGTCGGGCCCACCCTCTTTAACCAGTCACTAGATGCTGCCCCTGGAAAGTGGGTCTCCCCTTGGCAAAGCCAGTCCTGGGGGGAATGAGCTCCAGCAGCCGGGGATAAGCCCCCTTCCACCCTCTACATTCCTGGTCTATAAGAAGAACTCCAAATGTTTTACAAATATTCTCATTTAACTTTTAAATTTGCTCTTTTTTCTTTTTTTTTTTTGTAATTTTGTTTTTGCCAACATGGGTTTGTTTGTTGTTGTGGTTGTTTTTTCCGAAAGATAATTAAATTTGTGAACTGTTCCTCTTTGGCTTCGTTTCATACTTACAAAGGCCTTCTCTATACTAGTATTTGAAACTCTCCCAGCTTTTTCTGGTACCTTAAGGATTTCTTCTTTTTATGTGTAAGTATCTGAGCCATCTGGAATCTAGTCTGAGGTCAGGAGGAGGGAGCTACCTTGGTGTTTGTCGTGCCCGGCAGCCAGTTCACCAGCACCGTTCACTGTGCGACCCAGCTCTCCCTGCCCTGGTCTACAAGGCCCCCTTTATCAGAGGCTAAATATTTGTATTTCATTAGTCTATTTCTGAGATAGTTTTTATTCCATTTCATTGATTTGTAAATTTATATAGAGCAAGAATTTTGGGGGTAATTTGGGTTGAAAATGCAGAATATTAAGGCTGGGTGTGGTAGCTCAAGCCTGTAATCCCAGAATTTTGGTAGCTCAAACCTGTAATTTTGGGAATTAGAATTTTGGGAGGCCAAGATGGGAGGATCACTTGAGGCCAGAAGTTTGAGACCAGCCTGGGCAACATAGTGAAACCATGTCTCTGCAAAAAGTAAATTAAAAAATTAGCTAGGTGTGGTGGCTTGCACCTGTAGTCCTGTTTATTTGGGAGGCTGAGGTGAGAGGATCCCTTGAGCCCAGGAGTTTGAGGCTGCGGTGAGCTATGGTTGCGCCACTGCACTCTAGCCTGGGTGATGAAGCAAGACCCTGTCTCTAAAATAAAATAAAATAGAAATAAAAAGTAAAAAACCAAGAAAATATAAAATAAAGAAAATTGTAATCCTACCTTCCAGAAATACTTGCTTTTGACATTTTGGTATATAAGGGATTATATACTATTTAACAGAAATGGAATAGTATTGTAAATATTAATTTGTAACCTGCATTTTTTTCACCTAATAATGCTTCATATTTTCTCATATCCTTAAAGAAAATGTAATTTCATTTTCAGGACTTTATTCAAAGTCAATAATCAGATATGTGCACAAATAAAATTGCTCAGCCAAAGAGCATGGCTATGTCTAACAGCCACGACCCCTCAAGAGAGAAGTAATTCACAATCACGTTAACAATATAGACACTTTTCTATTTCCCTGAAGCCTCAACTGTTAATTAATAGCATTTAAATAACTACTCCCAATAGGTAAGTGAAATTTACAATCATTGGATTTTAATCTGAATGTCTTTGAATGGTAAGATAAAATGTTTTTCCATCCGGCGCGACGGCTCACGCCTGGAATCCCAGCACTTTGGGAGGCCGAGGCGGATGGATCACGAGGTCAGCAGTTCATCCTGACCAACATCGTGAAAGCCCGTCTCTACTAAAAATACAAAAAAATTAGCTGGGTGTGGTGGTGGGCACCTGTAATCCCAGCTACTCCGGAGGCTGAGGCAGGAGAATCTCTTGAAACCAGAAAGTAGAGGTTGCAGTGAGCCAAGATTGCACCACTGCACTCTAGCCTGGGCAACGAGAGCAAAACTTTGTCTTAAAAAAAAAAAAAAAAAACGATTTGTCCAAGTTGTTTGGCCATTTAGATTTCATCGTTTGTGTGTTTGGTGCCTGTTCTGCCCATTTTCTTTGTGTTCCTCTTGCCCCTTGATGAATTGGTAAGAACCCTTTCTACAGAAAGGGTGTAAACTCAGCCTCTCATTACATCGCAAAGAGCAGGCATTTGTGTTCCCATTTTGTGGGTTAGGATCGCAAGGTGGTGGACGCTCAGGTGAAAATTATCTTCTTCCCACAGCTCAAGAAGAATGATTTCATGACGGACCTCACCAAGGGTGTGAGTCCACATTAAAGAGGCTGGGATGGAGACGCCTCTGGAGACCGCTACATTCCTAGGCTTCCTGAAAGGGAAATGATCAGTGATTCTTTGGCCTAAAAGGTCTGTGTAGACTCTGAGATGGTGGAGTTGAGGTGTTCGTTTGGCTTGGTTGGGACCACTAGGTTAACAGCAGACCTGTCCCTGCCTTCCCAAATCATCCCCCATCACGGCTGATGCGCACCACACGGGGCTCCTCTCTCCTCTCTCTCCTGCTCCTACCTCACCTGCTTTTTGGGTCTGCAGTGGCCTCACATTGGCCTTTCAGGTTTAAGGAATGAGGAGGACAAGCTACGGTGGAGGGCCCTCTAGGGGAGTGGGCTGGATTGTATGGATCCAGAGCCTCCTAGGCCATTGCATGCAACCAGGCCATAGGGAGGTCTGCCTAGACACTGTGGGGCCTCCTCCGGGTATGATCAGCGCCTGTGGGCTCAGATGTCTCCGTCACCTGGAAGCCCCAAGTGAGGGCAGAAAGAGACAGCTTCTGCCAAAAGAGGGGAGATGCTCCAGCCCCAGCTGGGGAACCTGAGACCCACCAGCTCTGACTGCCTGAACCCTGTGTGTATTCCATTTGTGGCTGGTCTCCTGGACTCGGCTCCTTTCTTCCTCTCTAAACCACCTCCTGGTACTGACCTCTGGCCTGTCTGAATGGTAGTTTCTGTTCAACCTCTAGTTAGGCCAGTGTCTCGGGACTGCTTCGTACCCTTCTCAGTATTATCTTTGATGGATTAGTCTCAGGGTTCTCATCGTGTATGTGCCCATGCTTAGGAGAGGTTGTAGAGACGTGGGGTGGAGCCTGGGCAAGAGGAAGCCCAGCAGCCAGCTCTGCGGGGAGCTCCCTCATCAGATGCCCCTGGTCGCCTGACCAACAACCCTGGGGGTAGGCAACCAAGAGCACATGATTGTCCCATCCCCACCCTCCTGCCTTTATTGACCACATCGAGCCGGATGGATGGCCTGAAAAGGTTGACCTTGAGCACCACTGAGGGTATCTGAAGTGCCAGCAGGCAGAAACAGCCAGACAGCACCCTCTCTCCCCCCAGCCCCGGCAGCATCTGCTTACCTGCAGGTTGTTGTTGACGCGCTGCGCTCCACACTTGTTGACTCGTAAATCACATCTTGAAAAACAGTCAAAGAAATTGCAGTCTTCATCGTCTGTGCAATTTTGCTCAAGGATTTCCCTCATTTTAGGTTCAAAAAAGGCCATGTCCACATCAATAGCCACCACCTGTAATCAAAACAGCATGGGGCTATCAAAGGACTACTGGTGGGCTCCACGGAGAGAGAGACTGTTCACAACTTCGGTTCACCTCGTGCGGGTGCCACTGTCCAGGTCACAGGTGATCCCACAACTCCCACGAGCCAAGAGGAAAGCCCCGGCCATGCCCTGGGGAGTGGATGGATCCCCTAAAGTGTCCGCATGCATTTTCTTTTACACAGGCGACTATCATAGTTACAGTGGAAGGTTTTAACTGCAAAAAGGACCTCTGCAGCCACCAGTGAAAGCCCAGGATTTGGAACTATCGCCACAAGTATCACTTTTCGTCTTTAGTCATTTTCTCAGCTTTGCAAGTAGCATCTCTGAGAGGCCTTATACATGAATTTCCCCTCCGCTGCCTTACCACATGGGTCTCTGACCTTCAAAGGTCAGGATTCTAAAAGCTGTAAGGTACAGCGAATCTATTCCCGTGAATACAAGCAATCCAGGGAATCCTCGTTTGAGTGGCGGGTCTCCAGGTGTGATGGAGAAACTGAGGTGGGCAGTGCCTACATTCTCTTCATGGCACGTCTGTTACCTGAGTCAGCTGGTTTCGGACTGACCAGTCAGACGACAAAGTGGGGGAAATATCAAAGTTCTCGAATTAGGACTGATACACAGAGGCCCTGAACAGGAGCGACGCCTGAGTTCCACTGTCATCGTGAGAACCTGATGACCGCTGGAACTTCAGATTTATCTTCCTGGCATCGAACCAAACAGACTTCAAAACCAGAGAGAGAATAACTTCTAAATTATGTAGCTCTTCCTCCGCCACCTGGATGCAACAACAAAAACAGATGAGCTCAAACCTGACAAAACCTGGAATCTGCCCAAATCAAGCCGTTTATAGCTTCGAGGTATTACACAGCCACTAGGAAAGTTGATGAACTTGATGGAGTCAGTGGCATTTCACAAGCCTTCACAGGTCAGCATTGAAATATCAGCCTTTCTTTTTCCCCCTGGGAGTTTCAAAAAGGGTTTCATTTGCTGGTCATTGCCTCTTCAATCCTATGCAGTTTGGGAGGCACCTTTTGGTTTTGGTTTTAGTTTTTCATTCAGGATTGATGCTAGAAGGCAATGAAGTTTCTTGGGGATTATTTAGTAAAACAGAGCAGGGGAGAATAATTTAGTTCAAAATATGTGGAGAATAATAAAGATAAACAATACAGACAGACCTTTTCTCTATTTAAGGGGTTTTGCCTGATTACTAATTCAGGCGCCGTAAGCAACTTCTCGTTTTAATCTTTCCTATCCCATTATTTAGCCAAAACAAATAGCTGATTTCATTATTTACCCTGGTTAATACACTAAAAGTGAATAAGGACTATGCTAATGAATCTCGCATCTTTATAATTCATTATTGGGGCTACACGACTTTTCTATTCTTTCCATGGTTTCTCGCGATCTCCCCAGCCTCCCCTGGACCCCTACTTTGAATTTTAGCTTCTTGTAACTTCTCCTTCCCATTTCTGATAGTTTCCTTCTCATCTCCCAGGGAGAGCCAGATTTATTTTTTAATTTTTAGTGTATGGGGTTTAGAATGGATTACAATTCTTATAAACATAACCCTATGCACCTAAAATAAGAACAGTATTTTTAAAAAAACCAAAAAACCTACATCATGTTTCTTAATATCAAGAGAATCATGAAGTCCTTCCTGCATAAAATTACCTAACTTGCCTCATCTTCTTCAAACTTCCTCCTGGCATCAGAATAGGAAGATGAATGAGAGTTATTTCATTCTTCACCAAAAACTGTGGCCCTGGAGTAGGAAGCCATACCATCTGTTGGAAAAGATCACTGACTGGCAATAGTTTCGGATCATGAAGATTCCTAGTTATTCATTTACAGCCGCTGGACACATTCTCAAGATCTGCAAGTGTGCACCTGCCCTGCAGACGAGAGAACGACTGTGAATGACCAATTCTTATACCTCCACTGGGAGGTGCCCCTTCCTTCTGCCAGGGCAGCCCAGCAACCTGGGCTCAAAGGCAGGACCCACCTGCCGGGACTCTGAGATCACTAGCTCTCAAACTTGAGCACACATGAGAATCAACTAGGAGCCTTGTTTTGAAGACAGGGGTTGCTGGCTCCCACCCCCACCATTTCAGATTCAATAGGTCTGACGTGGGGTCTGAGAATTTGCATTTCTAAATGAGCTCTCTGGTCATGCAGATACTGCTGGTTTTCACTTAAAAGTTGTAAAATCTTGGGTAAAATAAGTCCTTGAACTTCAGGGTCTGCAAGAAGGGTGGAGAACAGGACTGGTGAAGGGGATTCCTCCTGCCCTCCCCTCCCTATTCTTGCCCAGGCCAAGGCTGCAGTGGAGGTAGGAGCCCTGAGTGGTGCAGCACCAGCCGACAAAATACAGTCTGGTGCTAGGTTGACGATGCACAGTCATTATTTCTTTGAACAAATATTTTCTGCTGATGGTGTGCAAGATACTGGAGGCACAACTTAGGTGGTTCCCACAAACCAGTAACTGGATAATCAACAAGTGTGTAGGTAAAAGCATCTGATGTCGCCCACTCGGCATCACAGACCCCATCTGCCCCTGCTCCTTCAAGAAGCAGATATCCTTGAAGTTCCCGCAACAATTACAGCACCTGCTGGGTCCCACTCATTGATGCCCACTGATACCTGCTGGAGGAATAAGGGAGTGACTGAGTGGCGAGAACTGGCCCGCAGCTGCCTGGACCTGGGGGAGGTGGGTTGTGCGTGGATACTCCCTGACTTCCTCCTCAAGGCCTCAGTGTGGCTGTGGGTCATTCCCCCCGACACACATATCGGGACAGTGTCTGGGAGATGCTCAGAGTATTGCAGGCAGGGCTGAGTTCCCCCAGAGCTCCCAGCCCAGCACACAGACCTCCTGGAACCTCCCAGAACCTCCTAGCTATTTCCCTGACACTGCTGACTTGTCAGCCCCTCCAGGGCAGCAGGAGGTGAGGCATTAGGACAAAGCACTCAGGGCAAGATGTGTGATGCCCTTCACAGGAATGGGGGCATTACACTGGCAGCAAATTTAGTTTTCCAGCTGCTTTCAGAAGACCATGCCACTCCTATGCTACCTGCCTTGGAGGCCATGACTGGCAGTCACAGTGCCTGCTTTTTGTCCCTTTATGTTGCAACCATGCTGAAGAGCACAGCCCCACCATGAACCAGGCCCCACAGTGACCAGCACACCCAGGTGACTGGAGCTAAGCTGGTCTGGCCATTCTGCTGCCGGCACTGGCCGCGTCAGAATGAACTTGTTACAGCAGGCGGGGGAGCAGAGCATGCCACCTTCCCCAAACCCATCCTGCAGCCACGACATCCCTGCCAGTCTTATTACTACTTCCTGTTGGATGGTCCCAGCGCCTGGCACAGCATGAGGGCACCGGGATGATCACAGCCGCATTAATCTGACATATCAGTGTTCGCCTAGCTGGGTGAAGGGAGAGGGGTTTGTGTTACACGGAGACACTGAGGCTCCTGCTGCTGTTCTTCCACACCTCACTGTTCTCACACAGCCGCCTGGCCCCAGAGTGGAGATGAGCATGCACGTGCCCTGTGGTGCAGTGGCAAGTATTTCTACCTGGGCAGGGCTTTCCCTTGTGGAAGGCACTAAAACCCCATTTGTTCCTTTAGAAGTTTTACATATGGAATGGAAACTGACTGGAACCTCTGCAGACAAAAAGCACTGGGGAAAGTTACTTGATGTCACAGAGCATGGGCAGCCTGAGAACAGCGTCCCCACACAGGAGGCCATCCTCCCGCATCGTCCTCGGCAGCTCCTCGCCTCCTATGGACTGTTTTCTGCACAAGTTAAACAGACCCGCAAGAGAGGTTGCTGTTACGTGAGCTCGAAGCAGCCACAGAGCTTAGGTGAAGGAAGCAGAACAGCCTTCTGGGAGGACAAAGCTGGCCCAGCCCTCTGCCCCCTACTGGGGGCTCCGTTCATTCAGATTCTCACTGGAGATGGATCTGTTCCTTGCTGACACCCGAAAGGAAGTGTTCTGGTAGGTGGGAGTTCTCTGAGGCTACAGAAGTGATAGTAGTTTGCTAACTCAGGACACAAGCTCAGAAACCTTCTCATTTCCTTCCCACCAGACCCGAGCGCTCCATTCTCTACACAGAAACACACCACCCTGTGCCACTTACTGTGAAGTCGCTCCGGATGGCAAAGTTTTCCGGCTTGATGTCGCAGAGGTGGAGGCGGTGGGAAAAGTCACTGTCAAAATGGTTCACCATGTCCAAGAAGCTGAGCGCGATGTCACTGATGGCCCTGGCCTGGCCACCTCCAGGGGCACCTGGGACCCGGTCCAGGGGGAAGAGTGCCCTGTGGTGGGGGCTGCCCGCGGTGAGGAACTCCACTGCATAGAAGTGGCCACAGGAGCCCAGCACAGGCAGCACGTGTGGGCTCAGGTCCTGCAACAGGCTGAAGTAGACGTACTCCTCCTGCTGCAGCAGCGCCCACAAGCTGGCCAGCTGTCCCCGCCAGCGCGGGCCCCGCCTGCCCGGCCACCATGGCCCCAGGCTGCTGTTGGACAACTCCAGGCCCAGAGCGCTCTTGACCTCCCCAGCCACCATCAGGAGGAGTTCTGCCTCGGGGATGTCCTGGCCACCCTCCCCTGCCTCCTCTTCCAACAGGCTGAGGGGCGGGAAGCTGGAGAAGGCCTCCTCCTTGGACTTGAGGACCACGGGCCGGCCGCGCCAGTCAGCCTGTAGCACCTTCTTGCCCCTGTCATAGTGCAGGCAGCGTTGGAACAGCAGCTTTCCCGCCACACACAGGTCCTCGCAGAGGTCCCCAGCCAGCGCACCGCCCCGGTAGTCCTGGCACTGCAAGGAAGGGAATAGTCAGTCCCCATGAGGAGGGCCAGGTGCCGTCCGTCTCTCGGCTGGGGTTAGGGAAAGGGACAGCCTGGCCTCTGCCCTCAGGATGGTGATAAACCAACTGTGCAGAGAAACCTCAGTCCTGTGGATCGCAGAGGCCACTCAGTCAGTAATTCAGGGGAAGGTTAAAGGAGCCGCTCACAGTCATTACACGACTCAGTTAGGTCTAGGACAGTTAGGCCTTCCCAGTGGCCCTGGGAAGCCAGAGGCCAGGAAACCAACAGGTGAAGGGCTGGACCAGGCCAGTAGCTCTCGACTCTGGCTACACTTCAGGGTCACTGGGAGAGCTTCTAAGTCTCACATCTAAGCAGCTAGGTCAGGTCTCAGCAGAGGGGACCCCAGGAGCCCTATCTACCCGCAGGCTGGACCACAGTAACGGCCCTTCCTGCAGGTACATTCCTTGAGCTTGCTGTTTTCCACGTGAAATGGAGTGGCCTGTAAAGCTTTCAGGCTGGAGTTTGCAGCTGTTTACAGGAGAAGCCTCTGGAGGATACATGAGTGAGCACAGGGCTCATGGCTGGTGACCTGGAGAAGAAGGGGGACCAAGGAGGACCCATGCAGGATACATTCTGGAAGAGTAGGGCGTGTTTTCATCTGGGCGGCAAGCAAGGCTGTCCACGAGTCCCCGGATGGGGTGTTTCTCCTAAACTTCAGGAGACCTTAGGATGGAGCCACTAGCGGACCTGGCGACCTTCCCCACCACACCACAAATTCCCTGAGAAGCCCGTCCAGCCCGATAATCCTGCCAGAGGCAGGGAAGGAAGAAGTGAAGTATGGAAGGAAGGAGAGGACTGTCATCCTCTTCTCTCTTTTCTTTTTCAGAAAATCTAAACCATGGGACCACTTTTATTAGGGGTTGAGTATATTTCCTAATCCCACCTGTTTCCCCAACAAATGAGTCTTCCTCCATGTCAGCAAATGAAGGCCTCTCTTCCTTCCGGAAACTTCTACAGCACATGAAACAACAGAGTCACCCTCGTTCCTCTAAGGCCATGAGAAATGCCAAATCCCAAAGCTGTTGTTCTCACCCCATTTCATGTATGAGAAAGGACCTTGAAGTCTCAGCGGTGGAAGGGCAGCTTTGGTGCTGGGACAAAGGATGGGGCCAAGGGCCACTGAGCTTGGATTCCATGGCCCAACCTTGCTGCCACATCCTCACCTGCTCTGGGCCTCAAACTCCTTTCCTGCGTCGCACCCCATGCCTCCCTGCATGGTGATTGTACCGGCCTAGAGGGAAGTGTGTGTGCATGCCACAGCATATGCATGAGTACCAGGCATCAGGAGAGGCCTGAGAACAGCCTTGGGTTCATAATTGGATACTGCCCAGCCTCGCAGGTGGCCAGGTAGATCAACTTGACCCATCCCAAGCAGATTACAAGCAGCTCCTTGAGGTCAAAAGCTGGACCTCTAGTGTCTAGACGTATAAATAATTCCAAAATCAGGAGCATGGTGGCTCACCCTTGTAACCCCCGCACTTTGGGAAGCCAAGGCAGGCAGATCACTTGAGGCCAGGAGTTCGAGACCAGCCTGGCCAACATGGCGAAACCCCTTCTCTACTAAAAATACAAAAATTAGCCGGGTGTGGTGGTACATGCCTGTAGTCCCAGCTACTAGGGAGGCTGAGGCAGGAGAATCACTCGAACCCGGGAGGCACAGGTTGGGGTGAGCTGAAATTGTGCCACTGTACTCCAGCCTGGGCAACAGAGCAAGACTCTGTCTCAAAAAAAAAAAAAAAAAAATTCCAAAATCAAAAAACCTCTGAAAACTTACAAGTTTTTGATGACTCATTTGACCTTACGTGGTGTCAAAACCCGGCTGAAAAGTTACGAGCCTATTTGTATCTATATGTGTTTGACTTGGTGTGAATTCACATCCATTTTGCTGCAGAATTATTAACTTCATTACTGGCACTGCCTCATATGCAAAATATAAGGTAGTATATGATCTTTCTAACATTCAACAAGATTTGAATTTTGAGACACACCTGGCCCCAAACCATAGATAAGAGAGGGACTGGGGGCCTTTATAAACACTGCGGGCTAATCGTTCAAAGCGCTTATTGAAAAGAAACACTCCCAGTGCTTAAAAGAAATATCTAGATATTTTTCAGGACTATTTCAGGTAGTACAACAGCCTGAAAGGCCAAAGCCAAGCTGTCTGACTGCCTCCCTGGCTTCCTGCTGGGGGAGGGGGGATCCTGCCAGCCACTGCAATTTAGATCTCTGTATAATGCATTGGGTGGGGGCGAGGGGGGTCTTGCTTGGCTAACACAATGATGCAAGCGAGAGAGACCTATAGACAGAAACTCACGAACCTGGCCCTGGAGCTAGGGACACCACCCTATTTGCCTGGGGCTGACTTTGTGTCTTTGGAAACCCACACCCGTAAGGAAGTTGTATGAACATACACTCACCAGCTGCTTTAAACACCTTTGGAGTTATGCACCTCCTGTGTTCATCTTGGAACTGAACTGAACAGAGTCTTGGTTAAATGTCATTCTTTGGCTTTAACCCTGGTCACTCTTTCCCAGGGACCGGATCATGAAAGGCACATGGGAGGATCCAGACCCTTCACGCACAGCATGCTTTGCTTGCCATCACCTCCACATCGCCCTTTGGAAGAACACAGCAGCCGGTCAAGCTCCTCTGAGACCTTTCAGGAGAGCCCTGAGAGGTGAGGTGAGGACGAGTGATAAGGAACTGAGGCCACCATGAGCAAGAAGATATAGATGGCAGAAGCAGCAAGGGCTGTTTTGTTGGGGTTTGTCCCCTACTAGATCTGGTATTTACAGAGTTTCATGTCTCTATAAATCTGATAAGAAAGTGCAAAACAAAAACAAAAAACAAACAAACAAAACATTATTTCCTGTTCTCCTTTTAAATTAAAAAAAAAAAAGCTTCTGTAAGTATGATACCCAAAATAGTTTGATTCACTCCCATAAAATTTTACAGTGTTCTCACATATTTAATGAAAAGTACTTTTGCATAGAGTAGAGAACCATTGAAAAAGAAAGAAAAGCACAGAATAGGATCCAGTGTAGCCAGAGGTGTGACCCTGAGCTGGGAGCTTCAGAGTCCTGCAGTGCTGAGGAGGGGAGGGCGGGGAGACGTGGTCCTGGTTGCAACCGAGAGAGGAGGCTCAGGAGAGAAGGTGTCAGAGAGACACAGGGCCCTGTTTTCTATTAGCCTGTGATAAGCAGAGTGAGGAGGGTGCCCACTGTGACTGCCAGGGCCCTCACCCCTGTCATCTGAACTGTGGCCACCATAGCCACTAGCCATGAAAGACACCTGCCGGCCAAGAAGCCACCTCCTCTTGGCTGCACTGGGATTGGGACTGGCCACCCCCAAATCACCAGCGCCAGCTTTCCCAGCTGTGCCTGAGCCTGGACGGGCCACCATCTGGCCACAGCCGCCAGACTCCGGAGTTCGTGGAGCAGAGGGGACAGCCTTCGAAATTCCTAAATAACATTAGAGTGACAGGGCAGGGCCACAGTGAGGCTAAGCTTGGCACAGATTGGGTCTGCCTCTGGGTTCTGCCCCCGGCTTGCTGTGTGACTCGCTTCCGAGTCTGGAAAATGAGGACAATGGTGCCGTGTCATGGAGTCAAACAAGGTCACAGGGAGACAGTCCTAACACAGTGCCTGGCCTAAGATGGCTCGCTCAAGGCTAGTCCCCTCTCCAGTCCTGGTTAGGAAAGGGTGGGGGGCCAGGGCGTCTTTTTCCTGGGGGAGGTGCCTCTGAGCTCAATTTTGAAAGAAGAGTTAGAAATCTGCCTTAGCAGGCAAGGGAGAGGCCAGCTGAGTCACAGAGAAGAACTTGTACAAAGGCCCCGAGTTTCAAAGTAACCCTGTGTGTTCAGAGACCCAGAAACGGCCCCTGGGAGGAGAGGGCCAGTGAAGCAAGCACCTACTGACAGGCTGGGCTGCTCTATGTGAAATGCCGTCCAGGTGTCTCCATTGGACTTACATGCTTCCTACCCAGCCTGGCCAAATCAACATTTGCCTGGGAGCCAGCCCCATCCCTAAGTGGAATTCTTGTCTTCCTCCCCTACCCCAGCACTCAGTAAATCATGGCCATGTGAGAGCGTCACTGGGTCAGGTCCCCACAGCACCGTGTTTAATACAAACTGTGCCTTATCCATGAAATACAAATCTATAAGAGATTTGCCCCTGTGAATTTGGAGGGCAATTCCAAACAGGAGTTGTGAGACATTCAGAACAATGGTGTAACTGTTGAATTTGGCATCCACCCTATGGGTTTTGGAAGGAAACATTCATTTTGGCTGTTTTTCTGAAGATCAGAACATTGACTTCTAAGCCTGCCTCCCTGGCGCCTGCTTCTTGCTGCGACACTGGGTATCAGAAAGGGCAGAAAGTGCAGGAGGTGACGAAAGCCTTAACCAGACCTGCCAGCTTCTACAGGTAAGGTCTTGGGTTTGTAACCTAACTTTTCAGTATCCCGGTCACCGCGCTTGTCCTAAGAAAACATTTACATTACAGCGACGCATGCTCAAAAACGCACACAGCTCTTCCTCAACTTACAATGGGTGATGTCCCAACAACCCCAGAGTAAGTTGAAAACGGGTTTCATACCCCTAACCCACTGAGCATCACCACTTAGCCCAGCCTACCTTCAACGTGCTCAGAACACTTACAGCAGCCAATGGCAGGGCAAAATCATCTCAAACAAAGCCAATGTAAAATACAGTGTTGACGTTCTCATGTAATATATTGAATACTGCTCTGAAAGTGAAAAACAGAATGGTTGTATGGATCCTCAAAGTGAGTTCCCACTGAATGCATCTCACTTTCACCACATCATAAAGTTGAAAAATCGTAAGTGAAATCATCATAAGTCAGGGACCGTCTGTATACAAGTGTGGTTATGGCACAGATGTTCCTTGATACCCTTTACAATGAAGTATTTTCGGCGTTTCAGTTCCTACTCTTCTTATGTAGAATGCAAAATTTGTCTCCCATGGCTTACCAGTGTTAACGTCTAAGTCTGCAGCATTGGTCTGCATGTCTGGGCCTGCTAAGCACAGAAAAAGATTTCATCCAGCCTTTAAAAAAAAAACAGTCAACCTAATGTACAAATTGCAAGTTTGAATTTAAAATTTTTATCAGGCCAGGCACAGTGGATCATGCCTGTAATCCCAGCAGTTTAGGAGGCTGAGGCAGAAGGATCACTTGAGCCCAGGAATTCAGGGCCAGCCTGGGTGGGCAACATGGCAAGACCCCTGCCTCTGCAAAAATTAAAAAAAAAATTAGCTGGGCCACACTTATAGTCCCAGCGACTTGGGAGACTGAGACAGGAGGATTACTTGAGCCTGGGAGGTAGAGGCTGCAGTGAGCCACCCTGTCTCAAGAAAACAAAGGAAAACCCCCAAAATTTTCATCATCTTAAAGATAATAGTAGAATTATGTTATTAGCAGCATGTCCTGTTGAAGTAGCTGGGTTTTTTGGTTTTTAAACTCAATAGAAGTAGTTTATACAGGTCTATTTTAAAAGGTAGTCTTTCTCAGACTCCTCTGTGCATAGGAGGAGTTCCTAAGGCCAGCTTAAAGACAGGTACATTTTTTGTACCCAAATGTGTGTGTATATATAATCCACAGGTATTAGAGTTGGAAATAAACTGAAAAAACAAGTTAGTCTCATTGCAGCTAACTCTGGCGTGCTTTTAAAATTAATTACATTTGCGGTGGATTTGTGCTTCTCATGGATGTGAAAATATCCACACAGATTCACATTCCCATCAAATCAGTCCTAGCTTTTGTAAGAAGCACTCTTTGCAATCATTGCTTAGTATCTTTCTATGTCGTGGTTCTCAGGCAGAAACAAAACCTGTCCACTCTAGTCTAGAAAAACTGTTGATAAGGTCCCAGAGGTCATGTCTGAGGGCTGGGTTTTCTTTTGTGTGTTTGTTTTTAAGGAGCATTAAGCTCCTATGCAGTTTAGCAACGCTCACACTTGACAGTGGTATTCTTTCCGAAGCAGCCATGCTGCGCTTTGCAGAATCTCAGCGCAGTTAGCTCGTCCACTGTGTAACCCCTCTCTACTTTAGGAATGTGGCCCAGCATTCGGGCAGAGTCATTCACTGCTGAGAAATCTCTCTGGGTATGTGCCCTGGATGCTGTAGTCCCGTTGGGACCTCAACAGTTTCTATCACAGAGGCAAAGAAAGATAAGCCTGCCCTATTAAAAACGAAGCTCTAATGTAGACAACTACATGAAATTCCATCAAGACCTAACTAGCCAAAAGGCAGTTAAGCCTTCAGGATAACAGTCTGTGGGAATATCTTTGACATGCTTTGAAAATGATTTGCTATGGAAGGGTTAAGTATACGAGGTGTTACGTAGGGTTTCCATTATTAGAGAAGCCGCTTACCGTCACGTCCTTGCTACCACCAGACTACACAGAGTCATGTCCTGGTGCCTCACCATATTAACTGTGTGAAGCAGGGCAAGTTACTTCACCTCCCAGGGGCTCAGTTTTGCCATCTGTGAAATGGGGATACTAAAAGCAAATACTTCATAGAGGTTGTCGAGGGAATTCAGTGAAATAAGCCCCATGATGATTCACACAGTGCCTTCCCAGAGGAAGAGTCAACAGACAGCAGCCCACATCTTTTGCCTCTGTGTGAAGGGCTCAGCCTGCAGAATGAATGAGAAGCCAGGCGTATCAATGATCCAGCACCAAGCTAGCCCCCCAGCTGGCTGGGCCTGCTGACACAGCCCACTGGAAAAGCGGGTCTCCGGAGACCTGAGTGCACCTATTTCTTGATTACGGTGTGTTGTTCCTCTTCAAGCCGCCATTAAGAAGAGCCCTAGAGTCTGACCAGGAAAATCTGAGCTGGAAGACCCGGGGCTCAATTCCCTTGGAACAATTCAGGTTGGCTCTTCTAGAAACTTGTCAGTGGGATGTGGTTGGCTAGAGTGGAACCTCCCTGGGGAGGTGGAGTGTGGGCTTGGGGAGAACATGGAGACCTCTGATCCCTATCCCCTGACTCTGACTCGCCCCTAAGCTTTTTCCTCTGATTCCTTTATCCTACAGGTGGGCTCACCCCTGGCAGGCCAGCAGTGCCCCCTGCCAGGCGGGAGCCTGGGAACACTGGCAACCCCCGCTACCAGGGGACGGGAAATCCACCACAACTCCCTGGGCTCTGCCAGAAAGTCTCCCTTCGGCTCAGCTGGCAAAGTGGTTTCTTCTGTGCTTTGGTATTCAGAGTGAAAGCTAATGAGAGTCTGGAGGCCCATCAGGAAAATAACAACCAGTTTTATTATTACAGATAAAAGCCAGGCAGAATGAATCGGAAAGTGCCAGGGGAGCGGAGACAGAGGCTCAATTCAGTTCAAGTCCTCAGAAGACACAATGCCAACCTCCACTTGGCAACTCAGCCCGGCAGAGCTGGGATTGTGAAGACTGGGGTCGTATTTAAACCCTGTCCTAACGGAGAGTGTCCTGGGTAAAACTTGAGCCAGGGCACTGTGTGGGTCTCACATCAACATATGCAGGATGAAAACAGTAGAAAAGGAAGTGGCAGGCAGACGGGGCGGGGGGAGAGAGTTCTGAGAATGTGTAAGGAGTAAGGAACTCAAACAGGGCCTGCGGCAAAAGCTGCTCCCCAACAAACCAGTTCACGGAGACAGCGTCACATCAACACCTAGGGAGATGGATGTGGCCTCCGCCATCGTTCTTTTGGCAGTAGGAAAGATTGAGGGCCTTCAGGGGCAGAACCAATCTCTCCAGCTTTATGTCTGACCAGAAATGATTCCATATGGCTGCCATTGAAGATATATTGGTAAAGCCTCTAAACAGAATTGGTTTTAATTTACGACCTGGAATGCTGGGAAAGTTATGATTAGCAATTACTTAAATTATGCTGGACGATTTAATTTCCATTATTAAGCCTTTCCTCACTTAACCAAAGGTAAAGAAATGAAAAATGGCATTCCTTTTTTATCTTAATCTAAAGGATTACTATATTACATTTGCAAATAGGTATTCCACTCTAGCCAAACCATCAATGTTTGTTTACTATAATTAGTCTATCAGCACTCCCTTCACAAGAAAAGAAAACCAGGGGGGAAAAATTTATAAATAAAAAGGATTTTTATGGGTTCCTAAGAAAAATCAATGAGCTCTTATGACTTAACACTTGATAAAACTGGCCTAGTGTGGTGGTTCACGCCTGTAATCCTAGCACTTTGGAAGACTGAGGTGGGAAGATCGCCTGAGGTCGAGAGTTCAAGACCAGCCTGACCAACATGGAGAAACCACTGTCTCTACTAATAATACAAAATTAGCCGGGTGTGGTGGCAGAGGTTGTGGTGAGCCGAGATCAGGCCATTACACTTTAGCCTGGACAACAAGAGCAAAACTCCATTTAAAAACAAACAAACAAACTTGATGAAACCTAAGTGTAACACTAGAAGGGGTCAATAGAATCTATGGGTGTCTCACCTACATATGTTCAATTCACGATGACACTATGACCCGCGTCAGAGTTAATTAGGGAGCATAACTTGTTTTAGTTGGTATACCTGGCTCACTTTTTAAAAAAACAATTTCAATCTCACTTAAAAAATCATTTACTTTAAAAACCTTTGTGGTCTCACAGTTTGAAAATCTACAATCTCAAAAGGCCCACCCATATGTAAGCAACTGGACTGAAAACTTCCCATGTGTTTCTTGAAGAGTTTTTAGAAAATAGATCACTTTTCAAACCAAATGCTTAGACGGTCACTATTTTAGGAAGTGAATAATCGCTTAAGAAGTCATGTAAGAGTTGTTGCTACTATCTTCCCCTTTCTGGGATTTAGGGGACTCCACGTTTATTCAAGTCTCCTTTGCGCCTGAAAGAACGGCTAGCCACGTTTCCAGTCAACTAAAGGTGGGTATTTCATTCACATGATGTGAGCCCAGCGCACGCAGCAGTCTGCAAAATGCCAAATGTGTCTTCCTCGCCCTAATTTTCCGGTTCAGTTGAGGAGCTGCTGGGTGCGAGCTTTCGGGCCCTCCCGGGTTAGGAGGCTCCTGTCGAGGACCCAGGATCCAGGATCCCCCCGGTCCGAGCCGCTTTCGCAGCGCGCTCTGCTCGCCAGAGCGCACGCTGCATCGGTTCCCACAGACCGCGATCGCGGAGAGCCCGGGCTCTGGAGCGCAGGAGGGCCGTGGTCCGACCAGCCCTCCGCATGGGCTTGGCGAGGTAGGGGGAGACCTGGCAGTTCAGGGTGGAATCACAGAACTCAGGCTGGGCTGCAGCGCTGCGGACCCGAGAGACAGAGGCGTGGCACCCCGATCCCGAACCCCGCACTGGCTGGTGCCCAGAGCCTGGCGGCCTGACACCGGACGCCGGCACCGAGGGGCTGTCCGGAGGCTCGACCAGACCTAGACACTCGTATGAGACCCACAAACTTTCTTCCGGAGCTCGGGCTCAGGAGTGGCGAGAGTAGGACGGAAAGGCTGTCTGGGGACAAAGGGCAAATTCTGGCGAAAAGGGGAGAGACACCCCAGCTAGCCCACAGAGCATTCCCGGCTGCTTCCCCATTCGGGGGACCAGGGCGTGCGCCTCTGGCATTCCACGCAGGTGTCGGGACCCCACGCCCCCGGCGGGTGCCACCCAAGTCCCCGGGGAAGGCTGGGACTCGGGGACGGGTGCGATCCCCCCTCCGGGGACGCGCGGCGCGGGGCAGAGCGGCGGCGGGACTTACCAGCGCGGCCAGGATGCGCCGGCTCTTCTCGTTGGTGCAGCGCTCGGAGAGGACACCCGAGTGCGCGCGGAGCAGCACTGCGGCCGCCAGCACCCAGCCCGCGGTCCACGCGGCGAAGGCGAGGAGCGCGCCCCGCCCGCAGCGCCCGCAGCGCCCGCGCCGCCCGCACCAACCCGCCCGGCCCCGCGCGCCCGCCGCCCGCGCCGCCGTAGCCGGCCAGCGCCCGGCCGCGCCGCCCGCGCCACTGGTTCTGCCTCGCGTCGCGCTCCGCAGCCAGGCCCCGCGCGGCGGGGAGGAGCACAGGGAAGGGCCAAGTGAGAGGTTGAGACAGGCCCACCCGCCTGAGGCGGAGAGTGCAGGGAAGACGTCCAGCGGGGGCACAGGGGAGGGGCCGAGTGAGGGTTGGGGCAGGCCCCGCGCCTGGGGCGGAGGTGCGGGGAGGGCGTCCAGCAGCAACACCCCGCGAGCCCGAGCACTGGTTGGGGGTCCACTCGCCGCATCCCCTGCTCCACCCTCCCCACTTTTTTTTTTTTGCACTTTTTTCCCCAAGAAGACCAGCTCCCCACTTAAACAAAATCCGGGTAGATTCCCTTTTCTCTTTGGGTACTGATTCCTCCGACTACATATCTTCAATTGTCACATTGCCCGCCTGCCCCCCTTCTTCTCTGACCGACTGCCAGGTGACCCTGACCCCGCGCTTTTCACAGCACACCCTCGCCCCGGGGGCTGCAGCGCTGTTCCCACCCGTTTACCTCTCCTCTAGAACCGCCCTCCTCTGAGTCCCACCCCAACTTGGGTTTCCTCCGGGCCCTCCCGGGAGTGAGATCCGGAGCGTGCGGAGAGTCGGGGGTCGAGGACAGCCAGGAGGTTCTGGGACGACCCAGCCCTCTCCTTCCCACGGGCACCCCTGAATCAAACCCCTGCCGTCTCCTAGGCTGGAAAACTCGCCGGCGTCCTCTTCAGGGCTACAAAGAGCTGCTCTGGAAACGTCTCCCCGGGGAGGAGAACACGTCCACCACGTGTGTCTAAATCTGTATTTATAGATTCGCAGTATCATCTGGGAGAGCAGGCATGGTGTTCGCATCCCAATCGTTCTGTAAAGCAGACTGGCCCTGGGCCCACAGGGCGTCCCTGGTTCTCACCAGCATCCCCCACCCCACCCAGGGATGCTTCTCACTCCCTGAACGCCTTTCTCCAGGACACAGGGAGGTGGCGCCGCCCCAGGGGAATTGTCACAGCTGAGGGACCGTGAAAGCCGGCACGCCCGGTGGCTCCTGCGTTCACTGAACAAAAGCTTATTCAGTGCCCAGTGCGTGCCAGCCCATCCCGGATCGCTCTCCCGCCTGCCCTGCGCCTGAATTTCACATGACCCATTCCCGAGTTTAGAGATAATGGAAACATGCCCTGATCACGGCGTGCTGTGATTGTCCCACAGGAGCTGGCTTCTTGCCCTTGTCTCTTCTGCAACTCTCTGGTTTAACTTTGTTTTATGGCTGGCTCGGCGGTAGGAGTCCCCAGGAATTCGCAAACATCGGGTTAACAAACCCTGAGCCCCAAGAAGCACTTTGGGACACCACAAATATGCCCCGAATACAACAGACCCTTGGGGTTCGGGTATCACTCAATGAATAGCAGTAAGGTCGGGTGAAGCACCCTCTGTGTGAAGGTTCCCCCACCTCCATCCATCCCAGCAGAGCCCAACCACAAGTACCTTATTTTAATGGGCTGGCTGTATGGAAACTGTTGTTTCATTTCAAAATAGGTGTGGAGCATAGAAAGCGTCCTAGGATGCTGCATTAAAATCTCAATTTGAGGCCAAGTCTGCTGGCTCATGCCTGCAATCCCAGTGTTTTGGGAGGCCAAGGCAGAGGGATTGCTTGAAGCCAAGAGTTCGAAACCAGCCTGGGCAAAAAAAAAAAAAAAAAAAAAAAAGAGGGCATGGTGGTGTGGGCTAGTAGTCCTAGCTGCTCTGGGGGTAGAGGCAGGAGGCCTGCTTGAGCCCAGGAATTTGAAGCTGCAATGACTATTATCACACCACTGCACTCCAGCCTGGACAAGAGAACGAGACCCTGTACCTAAAAGGAAAAAAAGAAATCTCAACCTGATGTGAAGTTGTTTTCCTTTCCCAAGAATTGTATTGGGTGTGGGGAGGGGAGCATAGGAACGGGAAGAATGAGATGAAGAAGTGTGACTACTTATCCTTTAAAATACAGGAACAGAAATTACAAGGGGAAAAGCAGAACTTGAAATCAAAATTAACCACATTCAGATCTACATGGTGTTTTCCTTTTGTGGGTTTTAAAAATCCAGTATTAAGCACAATTCTTTTGGCATTTTATAAAGTATTCAGAAGAAAATAAAATTATAATCCCACAGTAAAGAAATCCTTTTCATATTCAGCACTGTTTTAATACAGAAGTGACGGTGCTCTCTAGCACAAGGTGGAGAATACAGCCTGGGTTGATACCAACGAAAGTTTTATTTTGCAGTTTTGCCTTTTGAAACTGTGTAGCTTGTAAAGCTTATGAACTGTTTTGCACTGATTTAAGGTAATTAGGAATTTTTGTAGGATATAGGCAGGGATTTAGCATCAAGATGTTCTTTAGAACACAGTTTGTAATAGCAACATTGGAAGTAACCTACTGTGCACCATGAGGACTGATGAAATAAGCCTTAGTCCTCCACTGGTGGGAAAACAATGCTGGCATAAAAACTGTGATGTGAGGTGTATGTGGACAGGAAAGATACTACAGGAGAAATTTGTCGTTTCTCCTTGTCCTGCGCCTCTTCCCCTTCTCCGTGCACAGAGTTTCCTTGGGGAATCACACCCTCTCAAGCTCTGACCCCAGCTGCAGCGCCAGCCCAGGGTGGGCTCCTGATCCCTGGGCTGAGATCAGCTTCTCATTCCCCAGTCACACGGGCCAGTCAGGCAGCCCAGGCCCCAATATGCCAATCCCAGCCAAGCATGCGGGCCTCTCAGGCTTTTTCTGAACAGTTGGGAAAGAGAAGCTTTGCTTGGGCAGAGATGGCCAGGCTCTGAGGATGTGGTGGCCAAGAGTCACCACAAGGGGAGAATCTGCCAGAGGGGAGGCCAGCCCAGAGGAAGCGGGAGGAATGGAGAGGGACTTCTGAGGATGTCCTTCGAGCTCCCAACTTTCCAATTACCCAAATGATACATTCTCTTTGTGGCTTAAGCGAGTTCGGGTTGGGTTTCTGTCATTTACAGTGGAAAGAGCCTTGACCAGTACAGATGTTCATGATATCAATGAGTGAAAAAGCAAGTTCCAAAACATTATGTTCTGTGTGATTCCATCGTACTTGTTTTTTTTTTGTTTGTTTTTTTAAGGCATACCATATACTTAATGCAATGTACACACACACGAAATCTGAAAATTGGCATGAAAATGTTAGTAGTGTTATCTCCAGGAAGAAGGATTGCAGGTGATGTTTATATTATTCTTTTTGCTTGCTTATGTCAATTTTCTAATTTTATTTCAGATAAGCACACATTCTTTGTGTAATAGTAAAACCATGTTATTTAAAGAGGAGAGTTACCCAAAGAGACTCAGATATGGGAGTCCTGGCCTCTGTAGCTCTGGTCCGTGCAGCTGCTCCAGTGAGTGGGACGTAGGAGAGAGACAGCCTCAGCCATACTGAACCGCTTTGAAGGCTTTATTGCTTCATCCTCTGTGATCTCCCAGCCATGTTCATTTTTCTGTAATAAAGCTGAACCTGGTAGGAGTTCATTCATTCATTCATTCATTCAAAGCACTACTGAGCACCTCTATTTGGATGTCAAAGATATAAAGATGGGAGAAACTGGGCTCAGCCCTCTTTGGTGAGGGAGACCATCAAGCAGCTCTCCCCAGCGGGTTCTGTGCAAAGGGAGATGCTGCGTGTCCATCACTGTCTGTCCCTTCCACTACCCCTGCCCCACAGGGCTCTGCCAGAGCCAGGGCTACTGCTGCTGCTGCCCTCACGAAGGCCAGTCCCAGGGCCACGGGTGAGGCCTTGCACTCCAAATGTCCATAAGGATCCCCAAAAGGACTTGGGTGAGAGCCATAGCAGAGGAACAGGAGTGGACCAAGGCATAGGATCCTATCATTTTTCTTTTTCTCCTGATGACTTTTCATCTCATCATCTTGCAGGCCTGAGTAAGTCTCTCAATCGTCTGCCCAGGAACTCAGGACAACAGCTCTTGCCCCTCCAACTCCTGCCTGTATGATGAGAGGATACACATTCTTGAGCCTCATGCCTCCTCTCTTTTTTTTTTTCTTTTTGTGGGTTTTTTTTTTTTTTTTTTTTTTTTTGAGATAGGGTCTCACTCTCTTGCCCACGCTGGAGTACAGTGGTGTGATTATAGCTCACTGTAGCCTCCAACTCCTGGGTTTAAGCAATCCTCCTGCCTGGTTAGGATAATTTTTTAAAACTTTATTTTTTGTAGAGATAGGGCTCAATGTGTTGTCCAGGCTGGTCTCAAACTCCTGGGCTCAAGCAATCCTCTTGCCTCTGCCTCCCACAGTTCTGGGGTTGCAGATGTGAGCCACTGTGCCTGGTCCATGCCTCCTTTAAAAGGGGAGAGGGATCATAGCTCTTCCATATCTTAGGTTTTCAGACTCCCGGGTTATAGTTGTCATCTTATTTATTTATTTATTTAATCTTGAGACAGAGTTTCACTCTGTTGCCCAGGCTGGAGTGCAGTGACATCACCACAGCTTACTGCAGCCTCCACCTTCTAGGCCCAGCCATCTTCCCATCCCATCCTCTTGAGTAGCTGGGACCACAGTTGTGTGCCACCACTCCCAGCTAATTGAAAAAAAAATTTTTTTTTTTTTTTAGAGATGGGGTCTTGCTATTTTGCCCAGTCTGGTCTCAAACTCCTGGGCTCAAGGGATCCTCCTGCCTTGGCCTCCCAAAGTGCTAGGATTACAGGCATGAGCCACCATGCCTGACTACTATCATCATTTCTAAGCAGATTTATTGAGGTATAATTTGTATACTGTGAAATTTCCTGTGTTTTAGGCATTCAATTGAGTGATTTTCAATCCATGTGCAGAGTTCTGCAGCCATCACCACCACTGTGTGACTGTGGAGGGTCTGCATCATCCAGGAAGCTCCCTCCTGCTCACTTGCATTCCCTCCATGCTCCCACTTCCAGCCGCAGACAACTGCTAATCGGTCTCTACAGCTGGGATTTTTTGGACATCTCATATAAGCAGAATCATAGAGCAGGCATCTTTTGCA